TTATTTTATTTTATATTATTTTATTTTATATTATTTTATTTTATATTATTTTATTTTATATTTTTTTATTTTGTTGTGCTTTATTTTACTTTGGGAAAAAAATTTAAAACAGGTGCCAATAATCAATGTTGCTTGCTTGATAGAATTCAGAGAAAGCCCAAATTTTAGATTAAAACAAAAGCATTTGTGATTTTTATTACAATTTTTTTTATTATTTTGGTTAGCGAATAATTGCTATATGTACATACATATATTGTTTTAAGTACAGTTGTATGTACAAAAGTTTAAATTGTAGAAATCTTTTGAGCTAATTATATAGTTTAGTGTACGTACATACATACATATTTATACATATATACATATGTATGTATTTGCCTATAGTTAATTAATTAATATTACTGCTTTGGAGGTCTATAAAAAGTTTCATGGACTCAATACCTCAATACATACTTATGTACGAGTCCATACAAAACGTTCAATGCAAAGATGAGTGCGCAAAATATTTTGATGATATTTCTCATGCGCTCTATTTGCGTAATTAATAATGTTTTGAATTGTTTACATACACATATTGTTTGCAGACAATGGGCGAGTTAACAAGTTCATTTCAAATCTTATACTCGTATAGTGGTTTCTGCGCGTCTGTAAACAAAAATGCCCCTCGGCCCACACACATTTGTAAGTATAGTGTGTGTATGTGCGTATTTAAATAAGGTGTTTGTGTGCTGTATTGTTTATAGGCTATTTATTCACATGTTATATCTTAATTTCTCGTAAACAGCGATTTATTAGCCAAAGAAAAATTTTGGAAAAAGATAGATACTAAAAGTTGCTAGCGGCCAAAGAAGTCAAAATGTTTGTTTATATTTCAGTTTTGTTTTCAAAACCCGACCACTTATGAAAGCACATACACACAGACACTTGCATGATGCTGAAAATATATATTTGTACATATGACTAAAGAAATTATTGTTAGATGCATGAAATGAATGACAATATATGTATATATTTACATTTGTTTATATGTGTGTACATATGTACATGAGGTGTAATTTTGCATATTTTGTAGAGCGTTTTTATGGTATTTATTCAAATTTTTTTGTAGTTGATCCACACAACATATTCTTAAAATTCTGTGAATCTTTTAGGTATTTTTGTAGCGAGCTTTGGAATATTTAATTTTATTTTATGAACAAATTGTGGAATTGTTATGGAATTTTTTGCCGTGTTTAGTTTTTTCTTTAGTTTTTAGATTATTACTAATTACACTCAAGTGGCAACAAATATTAACCGCTTGACTGCATAAAAAAAGGTCTGCAATAAAGCCAACAAATGTTGCCTACATTTTGGAGCAAAAATCGGATTAAGCCCTTTTAGAAGTAGTAAGTTCAACTTTAGCAAGAATTTTCAAGCTAAGGTATTTTTGAGGTTTGAATCGCAAGGAAGACGTGTTTTGAATGAAGAGGATACTCATATCATTAACTTTTCCCTTTTTTAGGGATGCCCGAAACTTTTACATGCCGCAATAAACGGAGTCGTTAGAAGTCAGTACAACCATTCGTTAGACCAGGATACGTATCCTAGTTCGACTAAATTCCAAAAATGAGAGAGGATTTAATTAAATAAGAAATTAAGTAAATTTTTCTAATATTTAAATGTTAAACACAAAAAGTTACCTCTATTTAGTTTTTCTGATTGAAAATATAGAGAGTTCAAAGAGCAATAAGAATTTATTCGAAGAAGAACTGAAAAGTCTACTTCTCCTACTCTTCTTTTAACTGACTGACAATTTTTCACTCCACATATTCAGCTTGTACAGTAGAAACAAATCACCCCTGTCGTTGCCGCACAATTTCTTCCATCCATAGTGAAATTCTTTTAAAGTGTGTATGTATGTGTGTTTTCTTTTTTGTGTTTTTTTTTTTTTTTGAGAAGCTTCCACAGCTCTTTCATCTCAGGCGTAGTCAGTGCAGCATTTTAAACAGATTATGCGAGAAGCTTAAAACTGAAAAATTCCATGATAATGAATATTCAATCACTTGCTAATTACTTGACATTGGAATTATGCGATAAAAATATGCTCGATACACAGAAAAAATGCATAAGAGAAAAAGTGATAATTAAATATGCACAATTTGAAGATAGCGCGAAAGTGCAAAACAATTAAATAAAAGTAAAAATAAATAAAAAAAGTAACAAAAAATAGAAAAAAATAAATAGGAATACAAAAAATAAACAAAAATATAAAAATAAAGAAACAAAATTAATTACCAATTTGACACATCACAATTATAAATGAAGGATGCTTTTTTAGACAAGTGGTTTTCAATAAGGCAAAATCCAACTCATGCAGAGAATTGAAGCCGAACGACTATCAAGCGCATTGCACATTCTGTGAACGAGATGGCCGCCGATCGCGATTTTCCACACATAATTTTGTTCAGTGTTAAGGGGCACACCTAGTGTGAAATTAACAAAAAAATCGATGTTTTTATTTTTCGGTAGATTACACCTTTAGAAATAACATTATAAAATTTCAAATCAATATCTCAAATAGTTTTTGAGTTATAGCAATGTAAAGAGCAGCCGCTCGGCAGCTAGAGAGTCTCATGAGCTACGAGTGAAAACGATCATTTTATCTTTAAACACGTTAAACACGTTTTTCTCGAAACAGCATTTTCCCAATTTGCTGCAGTGATTACTCAAAAACTAATGGTCCGATCACTATAGAATTTTTTTACATGTTCTATATATAGTTCTCCGTACAATGACCTATCGATTTTTGATCTGATCAAAAAATCGAATTTTGGCAGGCCAAAAACGACCAAAATTTTGGGTAAAATTCGACTATTTTTTTTAAAACGCCGCCATATTGTCAATTTTTGATTTTTTTTTTTCGTAGGTCATTGTACAGACAATATTATCTAGTAGAGAATTTTTTTTTTATATTTCATCCACGCAGAAGGACCTTTTCTTTTCGCGTCGTTGGAGATAAAAAATATTTAATTTTTTTCTTCAAAAATTTCAATGTATATTCTTGAAACATGTATAAATATATTCTTAAAATTTTGAAATAATTGAAAAAGTATTTTTTTTTTTTAATAACAATTCCCAAAAATCAACTTTTTTTAAGCCAATGCACTAGGTGTGCCCCTTAAAGCTTACTTTTGGTTGAATGTGTTCATTAATAAACAAAATTATCGTATTTGGAGTGATGTTAACCACAAGCCATTGTTGGGCAGCCGTAAGATTATCAAAAATTCATTGTTTCGTGTGTTCTGTGGACAGTGGGAATCATTGGTCCATATTTCTTCAAAACCGAAGCCATAATATTACAGTCAATGGGCAACGCTGTGGAGCCATCATTAAATACTTTTTAGTATCAGAATTGAAGGATGTTGATGCGGACGACCTTAGGTTCCAGAAAGACGGCGCTACATGCTATGCAACAACAGTCAACGAAACAATCAATTTATTGAAGAAAACTTTTGGTGAGCGCATTATCTCGCGTCGGACTATATATTGTAGGGTTATGTGGAGTTGCCCGCGCAGACTGACACCTGACTTGGAAGATAATAATATTCGGAACGTTATTTCTGACAGACGGTGCCAGATGCTGCAAAAAGTGGTCGAAAATTGGGCGCCTCTGCTGAAATTTATTCAAACCAACCGCGGCGGTGACTTCCCGTAGTACTTAAAAAAGTAAATGGCAAACTTTTTATATTTCTAAATCTTTATAAAGCCAAATTCTTCTTAAGAGCCACATATCTATAAAAAAAAACACCCTTTACTAGTATGTGTGCTTGTTATGAGCATTTGAAAGCAACAAAACAATTTAATTAACATTAACAAATGAAATTAAATTTAAAAAAAAAAAAACAATTTGTAAAATATCGTAAAACTGTTTATTTAAATAAATTGTTAATAGTGAACATTAGTATTTAAATAGCAAACTGTTTTTATCTATTCCTACACAAATATACATATGCAACAAGTCACTATCCGTAGTCATGCTCACGTTTCTTAGCCGTACTTCGCATAACTTTTTCCAATACTTGCCGCGTAAATTGCCGATCTAAATCCAGATTAGTTTCATCCATTATCGTCAGAGGATCGCCAATTTGAAAGCCATTAAAGTTTGTTTGTTCAACAGCCAGCTGATTGGACAAGTCTACGGCCGAGTTTGGCTTATTTACGCTTGGCTTTTCGACTAATTCACGTGTAGCGTACGATTTCGAGTGATCATCGTTACTTTTTATATCAAAATCGGTACGATATGGTGTGTCGTATCTAATGGCTGACAATTCATTTGAATCTTCTTCATACTCCCCATTAAAAGGCAAGAAGTCTTCAACATTAGACTCGAGTATACGCATTTTCAATTGAGACATACCCAAATTGCCATAATCTCTGACGCCTGGAACATCTTTCACTGCACCGACTTTTGCATGAGATGAACAGGGTTTGAAATCTAGTGCAGGTATTGAAAGATCGCCGTCGTTTATACTACCAAGAGTTGCCTTATTTATTGTATCGGCGTTTGTGTGTGGACCCACGTTCTTTGTAGCGCAGCTCGGCATGGAAAAATCGTACTCAAATTCATTATGTTTGGAAGCGACTTTCTCGCCTTCCGTATGCTTAGGCGCAGCAGCTATGCTTTCCATATCAATTGAGGGTTCAAAATCTTGCGCACCAAAGTCTTTGTGTTCTTTTTGAAATAGCTTCGTATTGTCTTGTAGTTCATTGCCCACATCTTTTGGTATTGTTGAGTCTTTGAACTCAAAATCATCCTTTGTTTCCGAGTTCATGTTAACTTTGTTCCAGGCGTCCTTTTCACCAGACTGCTGTTCTGCTAAACTGTGCACGATCTTATTCAATTCTTCGTCTTTGGAATTAAAAGTTTCTAAATCTGTCAATTTCTCAATCGGTTTATTACTCTGTTTCACTTCTTTTGTGCTTATTTTTTTCGCACTTACATCAGCAAAATTGAAATCTCTAAATGGAAATTCATTTAAAATTATATCCTTTCTTTCCACGGCTGCTGCTGCACTATCGAGGTTTGTAGCACTAAATTCATTGTCCGTGAGTGATTGCAATGTGTCCGCTTTATCGATTAGTTCACTTGAAGTGGAAACCTTAGTGACGTACCCCTGCTTATCACTATACTCCTGCCTATGCAGACCTCTATCGCCGCGCTCAATATTACCGTTACTCTTTATCCTTGCATATTCATTATCTAGATCCTTAACGTTCAAATTATTAGTGTCTGCATTCATATCTCTATGCGCCAAGTACTTCACATAGTAGTTGGCGTAATCTGGTGAAAGCGCAGGCTTTGATTTGATTTGTGGATCTTTCCTCTCCATTTCAGTTGTGGGTTTTTTAAAAATAGAGGAAATTTTATCTTTAAGTCGTTCAAAGAAACCAGGTTTCGACTTTAGTTTAGTGTGTGTTTTAGATTTCGACTTAGGTCTACATTTCAAGATCAATTTAGATTTTGAGCCAGATGGGGATACAATTTTTTTGCGACACACATTCGCCACATTATTCTTGACACTACTGAAATCTTCCTCAGTATCAGGATCGGTTTCGGTATCGGTGCCGGCAGCCGAAGCGACGTTTGCTTCGGCCTCAGGCTGCGCATCGATTAACAGCTCTTTGAGCAGTGCCTCTTCTACACCAGCCTGTGGTTGTTGCTGACTTGCAATTGTAATAATGGCCGGGTTTTCATTGGCAACCTCAGCGGTATTGAGCCCACCCGTAACAGCTGAGCTGCTGAGAGCATTCGTTTGCTTATTGTCATTAGTTTTGAGCTCAGCGGACACTTCGTCGACAGCATTTGGTAAATCTTCTACACTCTCGTCTAACTTTTCACCGCTATCGGCAACACTTTGTTCATCGACTTTCATTGCACGTAATTCATTCACCTTCTGTTCCAATAGATTTTCATTGACTGGCGGCAAATAACCACGTTTTTCCAGGTAGTAAAGCGGTGATTGCCAGCTGTCGCGCAGATCGCTGAGTAAACCAGTCCAGTCGACAGTCTCTTTTGCACCGTTCTCAATTGTCTCTTCACTCTGTGGGTCAGAGGCGCGAAGAAGATTGCATTGCAGTACAATTAGGAAGCCACAAAGAAACCTAGAATTTTTGTATATTATTAAGTTCTCCACATATTTCTTGGTGGGCGTAACGAATATCCTCTATATACAATCACCTCTTGAGTAAGAATAATTGCTGCATCGCAGCATTCACGTGTCCGGGTTTATAAACGATTCAAAAATACATATGTATGTAAGTAAATAATATTTGTTTTGAAACACATAAAATCTGTTTTTGAAAGATGATTTCGAAATTTTCAATGCTTCAAATTCAGTGTTGGAATTCGGAGCAGGAAAAGGCGCAGCAAGTGAAATAAATCAAGTAAAACAATTATAATGACAAAACATAATAAGCCAAGTAAATTAACAAAAAAAAAATTATTAAATAATATATTAAACCAATATAAAGGTAATTTATTAAATAAATAAAATAAAATAAAATAAAATAAAATAAAATAAAATAAAACAAAATAAAATAAAAAATAAATTAAAATAAAATAAAATAAATTAAAATTAAATAAAATCTAATAATATAAATCCATTTAAAATAAAATTAAATAAAAAATAAAAATAAATTAAATAAAACAGAATAAAATAAAGCAAAGTAAAATAAAATGAAATGAAATGAAATAAAATAAAATAAAATATAATAAAACAAAATGAAATCAAATGCAACAATATAAATCCATTTAAAATGAAAAAAAATAAAATAAAATGAAATAAATTAAAATAAAATAAAATAAATTAAAACTAAATAAAATCTAATAATATAAATCCATTTAAAATAAAATTAAATAAAAAATAAAAATAAATAAAATAAAATAGAATAAAATAAAGCAAAGTAAAATAAAATGAAATGAAATGAAATAAAATAAAATATAATAAAATAAAATGAAATAAAATATAAATTAAAATAAAATAAATTAAATAAAATATAATAATATAAATCCTTTTAAAATAAAATTATATAAATTATAAATAAAATAAAATAAAATAAAATGAAATTATATAAAATAAAATTATATTAAATTAAATATTATGCACTTAAGTAAAACAAAATAAAATATAATAAATGAATGATAAGTAAATTAAATAAAACCAAATATATTTTGGCAAAATAAATTAAACTCTATAATACAACAACCCCCGATGTAATAATACAAGCAATACCTAAAAATATCTCAAAATGCTAGAATCATGTAATATGAGGAAATAAAATGAAATAACAGGAAGTCTTAGAAAAAACATCGTAAGTCAAGCAAAGCAAATTTATTTAACACAAAGCTTAAACAAATATTTACAAATTAAGCAATTTTCCAAGAATTGTCAATGGAACCGTAAAATTTATTAATAGCCCCTCCTTCCTTCTACTACCACAAAGCGATTTAAACATTTTAAACGAGTTTAAGTGTGACTAGATTTAAAAACATTTGAATTTTGAAATTTTCTACACAACCAACTATCAATACAATTTCACAACGATCCATTGCGAATTGATTCTTGAAGTCTCAAAGCGTGCGAAAGGTAAACAAAATTTAACGAAAAGAGACGCTAACCAGTATAAGAGCTTTTTGAAAAAAAAAAAATTATAAAAAAAATGTTAAAATTTGTTACATATTTCATAACATTAAGAGATCGTTAAATACCAAATTAATGAATCTGAGGCTTTGGGGCAGCCGCATTCATTCATACGTAATACCGGCAAGAAAACTTGTCAGCTTTTGAAAAAATAAAAACAACAACTATATGGTGCGTAGCCCATGAATATGATAACTGTTGTCAAGTGACCAACTAACATATTGTGTTATGTGTGGGGGTAAAGCGGCGACGCGTGCGTGTTATTCCAAGCGTCAGAAGCAACATAAATTAATTGTATTGAACAACAAAGCAGTGCGTGCATACATACATACATACGTACATATAATTTGTCTTAAAATATATTGCAATACAAAACAAAAAATAAAAGATGTTGTGAAATACTAAGAATTTTGGTATCCAAGCAACATGAATGAAAACGTGTTGTGTTTATACGATTAACTTTAAATTGGCGTTTCTAAAAATAAACGTACATTTTTTGTATGTATTTATGAGTTTTTAGAAAAATTAATAATAGCACAAAATTTGCTTTATTCGCGTCATCTTCGACATTCGTCAAATTGATATTGATCAGACACCAAGTGAAGCCAGTCCCTTCTCCAACTGTTGCTTTCAACATTGTGGATGTCTTCCTCTTCCTCTGCTTCCACCATCGGGTACTGTAAGGAAAACTTTTAGGCATGAAGTGTATTCAAAATAACGGAATACCTCCCTCTCCCCCTACTACGTGGACGGCCAAATAAGCCAGAGAAGGTGCGGTCTTTGAACTATATCCATTTGTTTGCATTATAAGACCAACCACCCGAGGGCCTAATAGCCGAGTTCTAAGCGTATTAGCAGTCGGATTCGATTTCTAATGCGACCAACTTCAAAATTTAGAGAACATTAGATTAAATAAAAAGTTAAGTTATTAAGTTATGGAGCACGTCGCAGTTACTTCTGATATGAAATAAAGGCTCCTCATACAAATCCAACGGCCATTCGGAGGTTGCTGAGAATAAACTGTAGATCTCTCTATTTGTTGGAAAAATATTAAAATGCATACCAAAAATTTAATGAGGAGCTCGGCCTAGGAGTTCCATAAACTCTTAGCATTTTGCTCAAACAGCTAGACGTACTGATTGTTTTGTAAAACGCCACTGCTGTGGTATCTAACAGCAAGCACGCTGATCAGAAAACTGTACAGCACAGGCTGTGGTGTGGTGGCATACGCTGACGAGTTTGCTCTAACAGCGACAGGCAAACAGCCACGAACTCTAAGCGATCTACTCCAAGATGCTCTATACATGGACGGTTACTGGTTCAGGGATAACTGGCTGGATGTTAACCCAGATAAAACAGAAATGGTTATATTTACCGCCATCTTAAGGTAAGGGGCGTGCAGATCACCCTCTCTACCGTAGTCAATTGATCGGCATAGTCTTAGATAGCAAACTCAACTGTAGCCGGAACACGGCAGAAAGATCAAGGAAAACTGTAACTGCACTTTACGCTTACGAAACAGCGATAGGAGAAAGATGGGGTCTAAAATCGAGTAGTTAGACTACACCGATCCTACTCTACGGTGTCATCCTTTGGTGGCCGACACCCGACAAAATTACTTTCAGGAGCAAATTAGAAAGAGTGCAAGGGTCGCCTGCTATCCTGATAACGGGAACACTATGCCATAACTATCTTTACAGAGGGCTCAAAGCTCGTTGGAAAAGTGGGCTGCGGAATTCATTATCCGATGCTTTCATTAAGCATGATCATGACAATACCGGACCATTGCAGCGTCTTCCAAGCGCACCTCTTTGATGGAAGCCGCCGAGGGGCTGCTCAAATCTTCGGCAGCAGAACAATCGGTTACAATTTACTCCGACAGTGCCATCAGATATTTACAATATAACAGTACCACGTCAAAAGTGGTCATCAAATGTAAAAACAATCAATCAAACAAACTCTCAACTGCCGTGGTCTGGTTACCTGAACACAATGACATCCCAGGAAATTGCATGGCATACGAACTAGCGTAGGAAAAAACCCTTCTGCCCACGACGCTGGTTTACCTCTGTCCATGCCAAGTATATGCTAAGACTTTTTTGATTGCCGTAGAGACGAAGAAGAGGGGGAGTCTATCGAGTACTTCCTCTGCCACTGTTCAGCTTTGACATCTATGCGACACAAATTTCACAGAAAACACTTCGTTGACTGCCTCGATGAGCTAGCCACAGCTTTATCGGCTTTATCTGACACACGAAATGGTTCGATTATTTGAGAAGTTGTAGGCAGTGCCTCACTGCGAAATCACTATGGGCTTATTGGTCCAGTAGCCGCAGCAATCAATTCAATTCAACATAAAGAGTACGATTCATCGTTTGTCCTTCGCTGTGCATGTTGCAAAGGTTTAAAGTGGATCGGGAGTGAAGAAACTACCCGCTGTAAGTACCCCGTTATAAGGGCATTTTTTGAAATTGAGAAAGCGTTTAATAACCTTTTCGTAAGATATAAAGAGAGTTAAAGCTAGCTCTAAATGCCTTGACTCAAATCTTTTATGGCACACAACTGTCTCAACAAAGTGGGGGAAATTAAAGCCTTCAGTACTAAGTCAATGGGTGCACAAGATGGTTTCGTATCTTCTTTCCGTGGATTGTAATTGTAAGACGTGCGCTTAAGCAGACTGTAAAGAAATCGCATTCAGTGGCAAATTCTTAAATACTCGGTTCGAACTGGTCTTGCCATAAATTCCAGTAAAGCAGTATCAGTACATTCACCGGGACAGAAGCATATTATCTCGTGAGTAGCTCATCTCTCAATAAGAGGCTGAATTTGTCCGACAAAATGAAATACTTGGAAACAATCCATTGGAAAACTGAAAACTGCGCTGGAAAACAAAACAACGAGGAGGGCATAAAGAAATTATGATACCCTGACGAGGGGCGACCGCGATCAGAAAAATAAATTTTCTACGAATTGTATGTTTCTTAGACCAGAACCCAGCTTATAATGTATTTTTTAAAACTAAAATTTTTTTGAAAACTTTACGAAATCTGTGATCAAAGGCAACTGTGGTAATTCTGGTTTGTATTTTGTCGTAATTTTAGTTGTTTAAATTTTGTATCTCATTCTACTGTGCGCGCATGCCACATAAATGACTGTGTATGTATATGAATTCGTTTGACCTCTTAAACTATTTTCTTTAGAGTTATATTTAACCAACGACGTCATCGCGCGAACAACGCGAAAGCATCATCTGAATTGATAAAAAAAAAAGAGCGAAAAGGGCGATCGACCGCGGCAGAAGGCCACAACGTGCACATAGCCACATACCAGCCTACACATCAAGTAGATGCCGGACATGTTTAAATGCACACTAACGTACATACATACAAATGTAGTTTGTATGCGATAATTAATTAACGTACATATGTATTTATATAAATACATACGTACAAACATGAAAGCAAAAATCAAAATCAAAACGAAACTCAGCACACAACGCTGAGCTTGAAACAAAATACCGCGCCGCGCCGCTGCTTTAACACGCCGTTTCACACCACCACAAAAGTGCAAATTCATGGTGAACATACATATATATATATGTATATGTATGTACGAATATGCAGAAAATGAGACAAACCTACAACAAAAGAAAAA